CTTAATTAACAGAAAAATTTAATTTTTAAACACGCGCTTTTATTCTAAAAAATTACTTCAAAACAATATCATCAGCCAAATGCTAATTTAAACATGGTCCTTCGAGCCGGATGACAAAATATGAATGTTTATTTTCAAATTAAACTTTATATTTAACTTTATAAACTTGAATTTAGTAGTAGTAAAGCTTTTTGTGAAAGATTTTATCCTAGAAAGTACTCCCGCCTTACCTATTTCTGCCGCCAAGCACTAATGTAAGCATTACTGTGTTCTGGTATATGCTGGTGAAATTATGGGCACACGAGACTTGTCAACTTATGTCTCAGGGTGGCGGGTGTAGTGGTATGCTCCTCAGGTCTTTGATTTTTACTATATGAGGTTCTGCATTACTGGCTATTATCCTTTCAAAGCCATGTTTGTTACATGAAACCAAACCTTTATTTCCTGGTTAAATATGGTTGTTTATGATAGCTCAGTGACATTAAATATCTGTGACGATTAAATAAAAAATATACTGTATAATTTTATCTATTGGTTGTAAGTACATATTGATTAATTATATTATATAATATCCCACAACTTTCTCATTAAATACACGTAGACATGCCTGTATCACATTCTACTTTTATAAAATCTTAAATGACGCGTAAAGATTATATCATTTAAGTCCAGGAACTAGTAATTTCCTGGTGTCGCGATCCTGTCCGCTAAGTACTTTCTCTCGAACGACCTGCGCCCGCGCCGTATTGTTACTTTCATCTCGTATTACTTCATTGAACACGTAATGCTCATATCTTTGTAGCGTTATTACGTTTATGTATGAGCTTCTGGAATGTACAATGCTATTTTTCAATTTGTTCATTGCATCTTAGCACGATGTAGAGACTTTCAATTCTTTTAAACTTCTGTTTTTTAACCGACTTCCAAAAAAGGAGGAGGTTCTCAATTCGACTGTAAGTTTTTTGTGTGTATGTTACGCGATAACTCCGGTATATGTAAATCGATTTTCATGATTCTTTTTCTGTTGGAAAGGGGGTACCTCCATAGTGGTCCCATTTAATTTTGAAGCAAATCATCCACCTCTAAGAGTGGCTGTTCACGCATAAAGATTCATTTTTATAAATAGCGTTTAAATTTTCCTACAAGGAGCAATTATTTTAATGGTTGATATTGCTATTCTCCAGTTCAAGGCGTTTTTTTCTCAATATACTTTGAGTAGTGTGAACCGATTTTTATTGTCTCCTGTGTCAAGTCCTGCATAGTGGCGAACTAGGGGATGAATCCGGGTTTGTGCACTTTTCGGTAACCGATTTCAATAAAACTTGGTAATTATATGTGATTCCACGTACTTTTGAGGTCGGTTTTTTTAGTAGTCTGTACTGAGTTATCTTTTAAATAACATCCAAATTGTCAATCTTGTTTCCCCGTTGAGGACGCGGATACCATTAACATCCACTTTCTATAATCTCTTTATACTTTTGACACACTCGTGTAATCGATATATACATATTAAACACTTGGTATTTCAGGATATTATCAAGTTAGTTAATAATAATAATAACGCAGACACTCATAGTATCGCACGCCCGAGGGAAATCCTGTGCCGCGGGTGCCATGGACACAATTCTGACATTCATGAGGTAAAATAAATGTAGGCCATACTACTACTTTTTGCCGGCCCGGAAATCGAACCTGGGACCTCAGCGTGGTAGATCAGCACGCGTTCGGCCACTGAGGCAGTTTAATACTTAGTTGAATTTATGGTTTATCTTTCCGTAATTAGTATAATAAAGCCGATTGTGATTATTACATCAAAAGTGCTTTTGTCACATGAAAGTCTTTTTCTCTATAATATCAAATGACGGGATGAACCAGTCGCCTGAATGTAAGCTACACGCCCGTCCATAACAGTTGCAATGTCACCCTGCGGCATAAGTTTGCAAGTCCCATATGCCTGTAGTTTCACCAGCATCCTTACCCTTCAAACCTGGAACACAGTAATGCTGACATTACTGTTTGACGGTAGAAATAGGAAAGATGGCAGCACTTTACTGGACGAACTCTTTCACAAGGACCTCTACTAGCAGTAGAGAGTTCGAGTAGCACTCGAATATAATACGAAGTACATGAAACAAATTATGTATTTGGGAAATTTCATAACTCTTCTATTTAAGTACAAAAAGTTATCGACTAAAGTCGTTTGTACATCCTTTAAATTTCTTTCATGAATAGCATTGACTTACAAATAAATGGACGACGGGTCTAATACAAAAACCACGAAAAAAATGTCCCAAATCAACCTATTTAAACGTAGTGACATGTAAAGAAATATGAAAAAGCTAAAACGTTGAATTTAAATTGTAATGTCATCGCAGTACTGTCTAATTTTGCTTGCTTCGCTGTCAGTCGAACAAACGAAGACTAGAGCGTGAATTACGCTCTGTATACGATTTTAACGCCCTATAAGTTCGGACACTTTTTAGCGCGGACCCGACGTCCATATAATTGTAAGTCAATGATGAATAGTCGTCATTTTGCAGTAGGGCTAGCACAACAAGGTGCGACTAGTGAAAGAGTCACATTAACACTCTCGCTTATAACGCGCCATGTTGTTCTAGCCCTACCGATGTGACCTTATTACATCAAGGGTGTTTATCTGTTACTACACCTTCGAATTAAATTGTTTTGATATATTGGTATGATTAAATTAGTGTCTAATAAATCAATGTCAATAAATTAATCAGTAATCCCACCTACTTAATATTCATTTGTAGGAAACAAAAGTCAAATAAAAAGTTTACTATTGTGTATTGTTAGTTGCATAAAAGGTGACGACATCAACCTTGCTTAAGTAACAGAAAATCATGTTGTGTTTCCAAAACAACATATAATTTTATAACGGCGATTAAAAGAAACTGTCACATATTTGGTGTACTTACTGCATATGGTGATGGTGGGTGGTTACATTTTGTTGTTGTTACTTGAAAAGCTGTGATGTAACATTGTAACCCTGATTTTAACAATACTTTTACAGTACACTAATTTGTCTACACACTTTTTTAATCTATCAGTTTACTTATATTTAATACATTTTAAAAAAATATGTGCGTTGTGTAGTACAGAGCAGAATAATAATAACGTGCACACATTCATAGCTCCGCCCTAGAGAAACCCTGTATCGCGGGTGCCATGGACACACACATAGACAAACACAAATTACCCACAAACAGACGAGAGAAATAATTGTAGGCTATATACAAATATTCCTCCCAGTCTGGGTATCGAACACGGGATCTCTGCGTGGTAGTCCAGCATAGTAACCGTTCGGCCACAGAGGCAGTTTTTTAAATTAAACTCTACTCTTCATTCGCGAGTCCGATTCACCTAAGAAAATTGCGTAAGAAACTCGGATCTCTCTTTGTGTAAATAAACGTTTGTAATATAAATAAAAAAGTAAAATAAATTTATAATTTATAACATTTATTTTAAGTATGACATGTTAAGACAACCTGCAAGAGCTAAACGGGTCAATGCCACGGATTTTTGTCACCCACGTAAATTTACTAAAACTTTACCAAAGTTTAAAGTTTTTTCTTACTGTAGTTTTAAACCTCGTAATAGCAAATTTTAAATATCATACGGCTTTGTATAGAAACCTACCTATATATTGACTCATAAATAAATTTTGACTTTGTAAAGACGTCTTTATTGTACTTGAGTGACGTATAAGTTATAATTTGTCAGATGTCGGATCCTCGGCCCCGGGGTCGTGGAAAGCGGCAGTCGGGTTGGCCTGAGCGCCGCATGATAGCAGCGTTTGCGCACGCCGCGAGAAAATCACCGTTACGTAAGGATGATTTATACTGCGATAAATACGAATCACATAGCACATAAATTGAGACCTCTTATTGCTAAATCTGGGTAAGAGACACTTTGTTACGTACATTTGCCTGTAGTTTTGCATCAACTTGTTTTATGTTGCAATTTTGAGATGTTTAAGCAAAAGTCAACGTTGATATTGTAATAAATACGTAATACAGTGTGACGTATGTTACGAGACTTGCGTTTACTTTGCATTTAGATTAAATTACAAGTTCATTATTAAAGCTTTTTTTATAATAGCAAGTGACAGGACAACCAAGTCGTGGGCCTTGTGGTAAGCGACACGCCTATCCATAACAGTTGCAGTGCCATTCAGAGATTTAAATCGCAAAGATCGGACGGGCACTGCCAATGCGCCCGTCACCTTGAGACGTAAGCTGATAAGTCCCTGTGCCTATAATTTCACCAGCACCCCTACCCTTCAAAACCGGAAGGCAGTAATGCTCACATTACTGTTTAGCGGCAGAAATTAGTAGGATGGCAGTACTTCCCTGGACGAACTCTTAAAGTGTAAAAGTCTATTCTTAAAACATAGCACACTTCTTTTTTATAGTTCTCTCATCGCTGTTAATCACTATTCCGAACAATATCTCTCAACTTTGCCCGATTCAGTGAATTGTAAGTTAAATTATCTCGAATCTGAATACCTGGTACATATTTTAGTTACATAGACGTTGCACATGCGTCTTACACTATATAATGTTTGCATACAATGCAATATAAGCTGGTCGTCAATCGTTACGTCACAGTGGCAAGTTTCTCAACCGAGTAAATAGTACAAAATGAAGGAGCAAAATATGTTATGTATGTTACCTAATTACCGTCTTTGCGTAGAGAGTGTCCGATGACGGCACGTGCATGCTAACACGCAACAATAAACGAGCTACAGCATTTCGGTTAGAAACATCATTTTACTCGTTCCTAAGATTTAAAGCTACAATATTATTGTTACACATGCCGTTAATCAAGAATAATGAATTACCTCTAGGAATCCACGAACACAACTATAACACTAATGGAAAGATTGCTAGTTACACACATACACGTTATCACATTTGTTCACTTGATGAATTGTCTAATGTGAGTCTAAATCAATTTCTCTTTTATTGCAATTTCAGGTGGTGATATGCGCGGTGCTTGCAACGATTACAGCAGATCCAGACCCGAAGAAATATAAATCAGAAGTCAAAACGAAAGACAAGCAGTCGGAAAAAAGTCTACTGACAGAGGAAGAAAGAAAGTTTTTAAGAGAAGTTGAAGTTAAGTTTGGTATCAAACCTGAATTAAATGTAGAAAACAGTGAAGAAGGTAAACATGAAAGCGATGAAGATACTAGCGACAATGACAACTTGAAGACGCCTAAGTTGCCGTTAGTCAAGCCTCCGTTTCCGGCTGTCATAGCTATTGAGATCGTCAATGACACTGATTCAAAATTAAAAGGAAAAAGAACAATTGATGCTAATCTGGGCTACGGTTACAGAACCAACAATGGATATACTTATTCGTATTTTGGAAAGCCAGCCCAAGAAAAAGGCAAATTTATGATTTATCCATATTCACAAGAAGACATACCACCCGCAAATCCGAATTCGTACGCTGGATATTCACATCAGTCGCACGGACATAAAACAATACAACTTTCACCAAATGTAGAGATTACACCGTCACAGGCATACGAATTAGTGCCAGCTAAAGGTGAAGAAGAGACATCTTACAATTATGAGAAACCTGCGGTGCAACTCAAAACCAAATACGAAGAAGATGTACAGACCTCTTCTAAGGCCTATCCCGTGGCCAAGACAGCTGCACAAACACCGCCGTCGTCTACACTTTACACGACTTATAACGGAAAAGAATTCTCAGGCTTAAGCGAACAATTCCCGCAAGTAATGTCTAATTATCTTGTTCACCCATCACAGCTAGTTAACAACCCGCAGTACCAAAATGCTGGTTTAACGCAAGAACATTTACGCTCCCATGGCGCTAATGTAGGACAAAGGGTCGTACCAGTTTTAGTTTTGAGAATTCCGAGCTCTTATATCAAGAACCCTACGGCTGAGCTATACGCCAATTTACCGCAGAATTATCCACTATCGCAATACTTGAACCATTTGAATTTACAGCAATTAGTGAATGAATATTTCAAAAAGATTGGTTATTCGTATGCACCTCAGGTAATGACTTATCCACACTCATCTCTGGCAGTTCCAGAGAGGCATGTACCGACACCTGTATCACACTACACGCCTCAACAGTACGCAAGCCCTTACGTTCAACCATCTTACACTCATGCTGATTATTCTGGGGTTCAATATTCCGCTGTTCAACCAGTGATGGCAAGATATCCTGCGGGCTATGTACGTCAGCAGTACTACGTACCACGAGGTAATTCTATATATCAACAGCCACACCAAAAGTACCTTTACATGTATCGGTACATTCCGCCGACTGCAGTAAAACAGCAAAGTTACTACGTGCAACAGCCGCAATATCAGCAACCAGAATCTTATCAGACTGTAGCTCAAGCACCTCGACAAAAGATAGTACAAGAAATAATCATACATGAGAACGCTGCACAATCTGCCTACGGCGCGCAACAACCTACAGCTAGTGACGATGACTCACAGGAGAATTCAGAACACAATGAACAGCCGCATTCTCAGAATACACAACAGTATGAACAATCCCCGTCTGATTCTTCTGAGTATGAAGACGAGCCCTCTGCTATGACAGAATACGGTCATTCCACTCCATCTCCCACATCTGAATACGGCCCGACTCAAGAATCGATTCCACAATATCACTCTCAGTCAGTACAGATTCAATACGATCAAAACCCAGTACAGAAAGAAATAATCTCCATATACCATAGAAGCCAAGCAGGACAAAACTACAACGTTCCCAATTATTTGCAGAGTACACCTGAATCTTACACTTACCAAAATCAAAATGCGGGCAATGAGCATTCGTCAGCTGACGATCTAGTCCTTACTGAAAACTATCCCAGCAAAGATCATACAATTGCGACAGTTTTCCCCGCAAGTCACAAATCCCAGACCTCAAGCGAACCCGTTCAGGCTGTCAGTTACGTAACTCCATCGCCAACAATGAAATATCATTCCCGATACAGAGTGATGGTTCCGCAGACAATCCTAAAAAACCCGAGTGGCGAAAACGTGGCTTACGTTAATTCACATTCGGTATCTCAATCGTCATATGGGCAGTCGAGTTCTAAAGATTATAATCCTGAGGACGAATATACTTCAGGATCACATTATGTCTCCCCTGTTGGCAAACAAAGACAACCATCATATCCAAGAAATTATCACGCACATCCAAAACGAATGAGCAGATCAGAAAACAAATCAGACACTTCATCGTCAACATCGAAAAAACATGAAAAAAATGCAAATAATACATCAACTTAGGCATCAACTTAAGATTTAAATGTTAATTCTTGGTAAATACTCAACTGTAAATATAGGTATAAGCAGTATTTACTGATTTACTGTCACTTCAATATGGTTTACTTCGTTCACCGTTAAGACAGATGAAATGATCTTTCTTAATGGAAAATTTATTTAAATTGATAAATCATTTCATTTAGGTACAGTAGTTAGCTAAAAATTAATTTTATTTGAATATTTTGGGTCATTAGCATCTTTGATTTTTAAATTATTTGGTGGTTAATATTTATTAATTATTTAACCAAAAATATAAAAAACCTTAGTAAGATACAAATCTGTTGCTTTATTTCTTGGTTTTTACCATTTTTATATAAAGTTTATTTTCTTGTGAAATAACGTGGCTGTTTCAAAAGTGCAATATTTTTGTTATGTGCAACAATTTTGTTATACTTACAGTTACTTACAGTCAGTAACAGCACACCAAGCTATGCACTTTTGTTCGACTATCGCCTCTGAAGGCGATTGCTCTAAAGCAACAGAACAAGATCCGTCAATGTGTGGCTTGATGTGCTGCTTTCTGTACATAGGTTGCAAGTTATCCTATTAAAACATTTGATTATTTTGTTGTTTCTACTTTCACCCTTACCTTTATAATTTCTAGGAATGAAAACTTATCTTGGATGCTTAATGTTGAATAAATACTGATTATTAATAAATGAGGTCAAAGAAAATATGCTATGTAAATTATATACTTTATAACAGGATTTTCGTAAATAAAATGGCGCTACCATTATAAGATACTTTGTCTTCTTGTCGTATCAAAGGTACATAATTATATACTATATTATTGTGGCCCAGAAGTTAATGCCTCGTCACTGTAGTAGCTGCCACGCTGAAGTGCGGGACGTGTTTGCAATCGTCCTTGGTCACGAACTTGCCAATCGGCGTAACGTACGCCAGGCGTACAGAGGACATGGCTGTACGCCATTGCGAGGAGATCATCTCACATCCTTTAAATACCTGGAATACAATATTATCGAGACAAACAAAAGGGAATTTGAAATCAGTATTCGTATAATAAACGCGCTAAGATGTACAGAAGTCTTTCACAAAGCGTTGGTCTCCAAATTATTTAACACGGCTACAAAGAGTCTACAACATAGTAATTAAGTCAATCTTAATATATGGGTGTGAAACTTGGACACTAACACTGAAGGAAGAACATAAATTATTAGTCGCGCAACGGAAGATATGTCAAAAGATTCTGGGACCAATCAAAGGAGAATTTGCGAACGAGAGGGTCAGATTCAAGGAGAAATGGAAGTGTCTAAACCGAACATAATCAAGGACATAAAATTTCACAGGCTAGGGCAAGTAGGAAGAATGGGCGAAAAAAGAGCGTATTTGGGGCAACCTACGGGTCATCGTCCAGTGGACCACTGAAATATCACAGGATGGATTGTGTTACCAAAGCCTGAACGAGCTCAATGTGCCGAAATGGTTGGAATTGGCACTAAATAAAAAAATCGGGAACTTTGTTGCCGGAGGTCAAAATCTATTTTCGATCGCTGAGTCAGCAAAGTATATAAATGTTATAAGATACGCCATTAAAAGGCAGGTAAAGAGTGGCGTCAATATTTTGGTTAAATAGTGATCACTACGTAAACAGGTACGTTTATAATTACGCGTATTTTCAAAGTTACAGCCACCACACAGTTATATATATTTTTACAGTTATGTATATTAGTAGCAGTAGAGTTTATCCAGGGAAGTACTGCCACTTTACATATTTCTCCCGCCAAGCAGTATTATTTTATTAGCATTACGTGTAGTGGAAGGGTGTTGGTGAAATTACAGGCACATGGGACTTTTTAACCTATGTCTCTGGTTGACGGCGCATTGGTAGTGCACCTCAGATCTTTCCGATTTAAAGTGCTGAGTGACACTGTAACTGCTATGGATAGGCGTGTCGCTTACTACTAGGCACACGCTCAGTTGATATAATAAAAAAATGTAACATTTTTAACACACTGGCTTTATTATGGGCAATAGTATTTCTGATACAGAACTGGTGTAATTAAAAATCAAGCACTAACGGAAATATTTTTATGTGATTTTCCAATTTTTCGCGCCCCACTTATCATCGGTTTGTTAAGAATATTTATTTGCATCGATGTGATTGGCGTGTTAGTTACTGATGTTTACTGAAGTATTATTAGTCTTGCTAATAAGGCTTGACAGTATTGAGTTGTAATTAATACTTTGCTTTAAAACAAATTAAAAAATGATAGCGTGTTGTTGGCCATGAAACGGTAGAAAAAGTATGTGTGCCGTATAGACATCTACACCAATCTTTCAATTCTTTCTTATACTATGAGAAACAAAGCAACGAAATTGAAACACCTAAGTAATGATTTTTTTTTTATTTTCTTTTAGTTTTCTGCTAATTTGACTTTCTGCCCGTTTGGCATTTTGTGTTTCTGGCATAAAGCGTCAAAACGGTTACCTGGGTGCTGCACCATAACTAATTTCGAAAAGATCTTTACCCAAATTGGACCTACCGGGGTCTTCTCAATTAACACCCACATCGTTGCCGCTGTGTCAACGAGAACTGCAAGGACCAATTTCCTTGACCAATAAGCTGCTGTCGGTGAAGAACGTTTTCTACTTTCATAAATTATATAGAAAATAGGATATCAAAATACAATGCTGCACCTAACAAAATTAGTTTAAGCTATATATAGAAAATCTCATAACTTATTAGATCCCATTACTGTCAAACATCTGAAAAGTGTTAATTCGTCACTAATGATTGTCGAATATTTATCGGATTATCCATGCATGACTATAATCGAAGTAAATTGTACATCAAGCGTGGTTACGATACGTTCGTTATTATCGTATAATACATGGATCTGTCACAGATTTATACGTATACAATTGGCATACAGAGCGCGCTCAACGTACGTCTTAATCAGAAAATATATTCCATTTTAATACAGAATAATTGAATTATAATTTCAATAGATGCAATAGTGGCTATTCATCTTTTGAAGGTTGGTGATGGAGAAGTAAATCATTGCTTTTGTAGTTTCATTACAGCTGTGAATAATATGAATGAGAGAACAAACAGTATGTACATATGAATGAATTAATCAACATGCATAATCATAAAGAGTAGTTATTTGCAAGATTAATGGAGGGCGTTTCTAAACTTTATTATCATTATTTTGGAATAAGTTTTGTGTTTTAAAAAATGCTTGTTGTTGTTGAGGGTGTGTGCTTTAAAAACAAATAATATGATAATTTCATTGAGGGTCTTTATTTTTAGCTTCAAACGTGGAAAGAGGGGAGTTATTAGTTTGGAGTCTGTTTCAAAGTGTTTTAAATTTTTATTTTGAAGGCCGATATTATAGAAAGAGTTCTTAGCAATATTTGATGAATATCTTTCTACATATGTTTAAACATCTTCACTTCTTTTCTCTCTTAGAGTAGGCGTCTCAATGATAAAATAAATATTTATTATTTTCTTATATATTTATTTTCGTTCTTCCGAAGGACTTCGAAACCGATGACGTTACAATAACATGGAAATTGTTTTTTATAATATCAAGTGACGGGATGAACAAGTCGTGCGCTTGATGGTAAGCTACTACGACTGTCCATAACAATGTTAGTGCCACTCAGAGCTTTAAATAGCAAAGATCTGACGGGCACTGCCAGTCACCAATTACAGCAGCACCCTTACATTTCAAAACCGGAACACAGTAATGTTGACATTACTACTTGGTGGCTGAAATTGGTAAGCAGGAAGTCCTTCCCTGGACGAACTCTTTTACAGAGAGCTCCACTGCTACAAAAAAAAATTTACCTGATGCTGCAACTAGTAAAATCTGCAGGCTACCTAACTCCTCGACTATTTACAGTAGCAGAAGTACCATGTTAGAACCAACTAAATTGATCTCCACGAATTAATTAAACCTCTCTACAAATTTCTAATTATGAGAGTGTTTAACGTTACAATTTTGGATATTTCTAGTTTTATTTTTAAAAAGTTATTGATGTCGTTTTATTCACGAGGTAACGTATTTTTAATACCAGTTTTAAGGTTTTGATATCTCTTAAATTTGCGAAATAAACGCCGAGCCACAATAAGGATTACAGCCTGTATACAAGATGAGATTTTTAAGTAATAATTCTCCCTTTAGTTCTACTCGTTGAAATCGCAGAAAATTACCTTTTAAATATCACACCGACCTTTCGGTGTGATGAATAGATTGCACCTTCGAATGTCAAGTGTTTTTTTGTTATAGTATTGAAAATTATGTAGTTAGAGGAAATTCTTGGCACAGAAAGTATACGCCTAGTATATATGTAATGGCAAATTTGTTGAAATCAAATTGGACTGTTGGCGACCAGAAGCGACGGGAGATGGAAAGTGAAGGTTTGAACCCGAAGTTGAACGTTTACAAACCATCGCCCGGCGAGTGCAGAAACACTTTGCCATTTAATTCAACTTTTCAACGCCAGATGGCTACTTTTTCGCGCAACTTCAGATAGATGGCGCTACTTGTATTCTTGAAATCGTATAACTTCGCACCCTTGTTTTAATATAAAAGTAAAATGATAGCTTTTTAACCGTCTTTAAAAAAGAGAAGGATCTCAATTCGACTGTATTTTTTGTGTGTGTATGTTACACTATTACTCCGGCATTTGTAACGTATGATCTCATGTGGCTTTATTATTCCAAGGGTGCAAAATGATCACCATCATTAACCCGTCATATGTCGTATCATCATACCATCATAGGAGGTAAAATGTGTCCTCTGTTTAAACATATGTATGGGTTTCCTCTAAAGAAAGGGTTCAGGTCATAGTCCGCCACTCTTAACGCAAACCTGGTTGGGGCCTCATACATTTTCCTAACACAGTGGACCGTCTTCGATCTGCAGGTTTTTTCACATTTTCTTTCATTGGCTGCACTTTCACTTTCACCTGCTAGAAATTAAAGTAGTAGGTATATGCCACATGGATTCGAAGCGTCGACCTCTCAACCACGAGGGTACATGCTTAAGTAAAATTATCTACTTTGAAATTACTATTATTCTTGTTTTATAGAAAAGAAAACTAAGGATTTAGTCTCATATCTAGTTTTGAATATTGGTAGTAAATCTTGGGACCGAATTTAAACAAATGATTGATTTATTTATTGTATAGGAATGCCTACATGATGCATATACAACAATAGCAAATGTACAGTACGTTACAAAGTTTAAAGTTATATATACACCATGCTTATATATGGCTAACACAGCAAGCTATACAGATTCAAGGTTATATGAAGATTAATTATTCAATAACCCTTTTATTTTTCAATGTACAAAACATCATAATTCCAATTTCCTTTACAGTTCAAAAGTAAAAACAATATAATCCCTACATTAGAATAAGAATTTAAATAAACGTTATGGTACAAAATAGATCATTCAGAATTTTGAATAAAATATTTTTTTATTTTATTTTTAAAGCTACCTAGGGAGTCGTTAAATATGACGAGATGCATAACTTTAAATACATTGTTGTATTTTTTGACACTTAAACCTAAACATGTCCTGGAAAATCTGTGTTTAAATTTATCATAATTATAGAACGGCCGTTTCGCCTAGGAATTGTAAAGTAATTTTTTTGCAAAAGTTGTGGAGAATCTATTGCATGATCTTTCTAATGTGACGAATTATGATTACATTTTGTTTGCCGACGACATTGTTGTAAAGCAATATGTGTCAAAGTGTATAATTGTTTGCCTGATACACTAAAATCACAGCCATTGAATAAGTATATATGTTTATTAAAACAGATGTTGAAAAAAAAAACGTTATTGTGGTGTAAATGTAATATATTTATATTAACACTTTATTTGTAGGAAATTTTCCAAAAAAAAATTACAATTATTATTAAGTGATGTATAAATTATTTTTTCAATGTATAAATTATTTATTTGTGTGGGTGTTTGTTTTTGTTTGCATGTAATTATAATGGTAAATGTAAATATTAAATTAGCGACACATAACTTTACAATTTTGACATACATATTTTGCATATACTCTTGTTTATATATTGTATGTCAGTAATGGCTAACTGTGTGAAACAGCGTTCTGTGAACATTAGAATCAAGTATTGTATTTACCACATATAAGGCAATAAGCTGTATACAGATGATGATTGTAGTATTGTACACGGAAGTGGTTCGGAAGTGATCTGTGTCCAGTAGTGGGAAGTCTTTGGATTGATACTGACTCATTAAAACTGTATATTATTTACCGAACATAACAGACTTCCTGTATAGTTCAATAAGAACTCTAGACTCGATCAGGATAAATAAATAAAGATCACACCCACCAGGAAACTTCACCTGATTATTATGGATGGCAGATAGTAAAAACTTGCTGCGGTAAATGAAGACCGAGTAATCTGGTAGGGGTTGGGTCGTTTCACTATCGTTTTTCTCGGATTTCCGCGTTTTCCGGTGAGCCGAGATAATCGGGAAGTGCACTGCTGTGCAGGCTTGACCGGTAAGCGTTCATTAGATAATTTGTACACACGGTTGTGTGGTACGCACAGCTACGTGACTGCAGACCTTCAGAAGAGAAAAAGCATATTTGTTTGATAGCTTATTCGTTATTGGATTTGAGGGTCACAGCTGCAACTAAAGACATCAGTGCACCTACGTAATCAAAGTAAACAAGTTATGTTGTATTTTTATGTTTCGCGTACGTGTATATACATAAAAATTGTATTTTTTAATTGTTGGTTAACGTAGAATGAGTACAAAAATAAAATACGGTTTCTTCGAGTTGTCAATTTTCTTTCAAAAGTAAACCCACGGGAGTAATTTTTAACCGACTTCAAAAAAAGGAGGAGGTTCTCAATTCAGCTGTATTTTACTTTTGTGTGCTACCTACGCAATTACTCGATTACATTACCTATGCGGTATTTGTGAACCGATTTCGATGATTCGTTTTTTTGTTGGAAAGAGTGTATCTTAGTAATGGTTCCATTTAAATTTGAAAAAAAAAACACCTTTAAGGGTTGCAAACTAGGGGCTGTTTCTCGCACTTTCCTGTAACCGATTTCAATAAAACTTGGCAAATGATGTAATACCACGAACTTTACACGAAGGTCGAACACGAAAGGGCGGTTTGTTTTGTATAAAAAAGTTACAATTATTACAGGACATAGTCAGCAGACAACAGAAAGGTTTTTATACTCTCCAGAGTCCATAGTCTCTCTTTATGCTAAGCCAGCTGAACTACTAATTTATAGGAATTATGTTTAAGAAATATTTTAACAAAAAATTATGAAAAATATTGTTTAAGGATTTTGCACACATCAATAATAATAATACTAAGTTCCAAACAAACACACCAATAACCTGTTCTCAAATTAGGAAAATCCCTATACTATGAGTGCCAGAGCAATGAAATTCACTCTGCAACACTACCTACAACACCCAGACCAGAACCACTGAATTTTGAATGCCCTGATCGGTGAATTCAGCCACACTCATGTGGGGTTTTATGTTTGTCTATGCCGATGACATGGTGTTGCTGGCGCCTTCGATTAGTGCATTAAGAAAATTGATTCGAGTCTGTGAGGAATATGCTGTCTCGCATGGACTAATGTACAATGTAAAAAAGACTGAGTATATGGTCTTTGAGGTTGCCAGTGGAGAGTTCTGTGCTCCTATAATGCTCAATGGAACTCCATTGAAGAGAGTTTCGCATTTTAAATATTTAGTACACTATATTGCCGACGACCTTAAAGACAATATGGACATAAAATGCGAGCACAAGACACTGTCGGTGAAAGCGAACTTGCTGGCTCTCAGGTTTGCTCAATGTATGGTGGAGGTGCAGGTCACCCTTTTGCGAGCCTATTGCACACCACTGTATGCGGGTGCCCTGTGGGCCAGCTATACCCAAAGCTCGCCCAGAGTCCTGCGCATGCAACATGACAACGCCTTTGGGACGCTGCTGCAGCTACCAAGGCTCTGCAGTGCGTCTGCCATGTTTGCTGACGCTCGCGTTGATAGCGCTCTTCATGGCGCTCTTGCAGAAGAAGATGGCGTCTTCGTTTATGTGGTAGCTACGGCCTTCTGAAGACTATCGCTGCTAGGAGTGAGTACCCCATGATGCGGCATTGAATAATAAGCACAAAATCCGTAGTAGAATTTACGTACTAACCTAATTATAAGTTTATTGTTATTACGGAATTATCGAAAGAATTGGAGGTAAAGTTAAGCAGATCTAATGCTTTCTTTGTAAAATTAAAAATAAGGTATTTAATTAATAACTATTGTAATTATAGTGAAAAAATAGGATGGTTAGCATCAATATTAGACATAACTGGTTGAAGACTGTACCACCTCAGTCAACCGTGACCATGGGACCTGTAAAGGGCCCGAAACGTCGGTTAGTTTGAAAAACCAAATATACGCGATTTAAATCCGGAAAAATAGTTTCATTTCTTATTTAGCAAGGCCTAATTACAGAATAGATAATTACAATTAAGCAAGGTGCAAAATATTAGGCTGTAGAATTAATTCTAAAGGTGTTCTTCTTACTCACTTCCCACACTAGAAAAAATCTGTATTATGGGTGTCAGTCATCATCCGTGAGAGCTTACAACCATGACAAACAATTTCAAATAAGTGCTGTATTTTTTCCAGTACTTATTTTCTGAATGGTCCTAGCAGGAATCGAACCCGGGACCATTACATCCATCGCCCACAATGCATACCGTTGGGCCACCGAGGTTGCCGATAGTGTTATATTTTCTGCACCTTGCTCTACATAATTTAGGTTCGTGAGTATCGAAAACTTTAAATATAGTTGGGTATGAAGGAAATACGTGGAAAATGGCGTGGTTCGAGATTGCGCAATTCAGCAGGATGTTAATACCATAAAGAGAAAAGCGTTAATTGCGTCTCCGCCTCTGGCCGCCGCCGGTTTACCGACCCGTCTGTTATTAAGACTGAATTAATAGTAGCCCGTTTTCATATCAGCTGGACACTCGAGCATTACTTTACTTGGTGTCTATGACTTAGTAGATTAATATACAACTTCTGAGGTTTGGTTTGATATCTTGTTATGTTGAATTCGCACCTTTGGTATGATAAAACCACATGTGACCAAACGTCAAAAGTACTTTTGTCATGTGAAAGTCATAAAAATACGAAATACATGAAACTAATAATGTATATATGATTTTATTTGTATTTAAGCATAAAAAAGTTATGGACGCACACATTCGCACAAGAATGATAGGCGCGTGGTACGACCAGAGCTATGCAATGCGTTTGTTAAAATAATATACATATGGATATTTCTTTATGATATAATAATAATAATAATAACGCACACACTCAATAAAGCCCCGCACTAGGGAAAAAGGTCGCTGGTGCTATGGACACATACATAGAAAACCACACATTACACCCAAACTCACGAGAGAAATAAATGTAGGCCATATAAATATTTCTCCTGGCCCGGGAGTCGAACCTGGGACCTCTGCGTAGCGGTCCGGTATGGTAACCGTTCAACCACGGAGGCAGTTGATTATGACATCAAGTGACGGGACGCACAAGTCGTGCTCCTGGCGGTACGCGACACGCCTGTCCATTGCAGTTGCAGTGCCACTCAGAGCTTTAAATCGCAAAGATCTGTCACCTTGGGACATAAGTTGACAAATCCCACGTGCCTGTAATTTCACCAGCACCTAAGGGTACACTTCAAAACCGGAACGCAGTATTGCTCACATTACTGCTTGGCGGTAGAAATAGGAAAGAGGCTGTACTTCCCTGGGCGAACTCTTTCACAAGGACCTCTACTGCTACTAAATGTGTTAAACGTTTTGTTAGGTTTATTCTTATACATCCGCGAGTAGGTCTTAGCAAGTCTAGTTAGGTGTTCGGGGGTTACGCCTTGTAGAGCGATTTTACGTAGAATCAATCTAGCTATAAAGAACCTTATGCAAGTAGGCGAAGTCTTGTTTTTCATAGCGAACAAGGAGGACACTTTAAATTCGTCAAGTTGATCGTTGTTTGTATAATTATTCACCTGTTTTTGTCACAAAAGTGAAATGTTCACACGGAGTACCCATATAAAGCAACTTACTAGTTGTATCTATTAAAAGTACCAGATTCCCTGTAGAGCCTACAGATGGAAAAAAACTAATGTGATCACAGGTCATGTAGTGCTTCTCACTTATGAATGTATAACGTATTTCGTTTTAATAAGATGTGTTTTAGTTTAAAACCTTTGAGTTGAAGAGGTTGTCGCTAAGGACTTGTTTAAGAAAGCGATAGAGAAACCTAAAACCTGTTAATAATGAATTTTTATTATTCTCATATGACCTAAAAGCGACAACCGCTGATATTATATGCCTACAACAAATTATGTAGTTTTAAAGGGTGTATTATTGTAAAATAAAATTTATAGGATTGATATTGTTGTTGTAGTAAGACTTGGGCAATTGTTATGGGATCTTCCATTTAATAGCTTTACAATACAATACAAATATTCTTTATTACTCACTACGACGAATAAATAACAAAAAGAAAACAAAAGACAAGTACAACAGACGTCTAGATAGCAATATCTTTCAGGCAATCTTCGTGTCACAAGTTAAACTTAAAGGTAGTAATTAATGAGGGCGCGACATAATACGACTTTAAAACCGATATTGTACTTACAGAAATAAAAAACAAAGATAAATAAAATACTTGGATAAACCAACGGCTCATATCCTACGCGAACTTTACGCCTTCTTCCGTGAAAGTCTAAGGGTACAGCAGTGCCCCCGCTAAGTCAAGTAAGGTCGGACAATATTTCCTTGTTATTGAAACAGGGTGTCTACTCCCGTTCTTCGTCTAAACATCGGTCCGAAACAATTACTGTCAAATAAGTAATACTCAATTAAAACAATGTCAAGTATGACGCTTCATTCGCATCATGCATCAATTAAGAGCTCTCATGCCAAAAAAGTTTTGACGTTGACTCCGCCCAAATTTGTGAAACAAATATATGCCTGACGTTCGCGTGACATGCGACAGGAGATGTTGAACTTTGCGCATTAAAAGTACCAAATTCGTTTTAGCGGAATAACTCTAAAACTAAAGGGATTAAAAAAAAATCCGTAGTGACAGTTATCGATCATGCATAAATATAATTAAATAACCTGTAGCATTTCGAGGATACATCGAAAAAATGTGAAAATTACAGGTTATTTGTCGGTTAAAGTGGATATATCCCTCTAAAATCAAATCGAAGATTAGACATTTTTCCTCTGCTCCCTCTTAATTTGGTCGAGTATTGTCATGATGACATGTCAAGAATTATTTTGGACGGTGATCTTTGTCTTGGATGAGATAATGAAGAAGATAAATTAGAATAGCGGACGTAGTAACTTGACTTGAGTAATTAAATTTTTATTGAATTGATATTTAATTATTTTTTGTGAAATTACTCCACTAGTTTGGTATAATTATTAATACA